CATCTGCCCCTTGGTGCTGTGGTGGAAAATCCGTTCTGTTTTATATATGGTTTAGTTCTCACTGCCTCTTGTATCTGTAAAAGGGAAGGTGTTAAGGTAAGTGAAGTGACAAGTTCTGAATTGAGCATCGTGACACGCTGTTCATTGTATAATCTGTACCTGTTCATGTTGTCTGGTTCAGTGAGACGTCATGCAGATACAGAGCTGCTTTATGAAGCTTAGTGCTAAGTGTGCTTGTATCATAAAATGCGTGCCCAGTGTTGGGACATTTGTTTACACAGATGATTGTACTGAATCTGCACCTGTTTCTAAAGTGGTCTCACAACATCCCTATTTCCTTTCTCACTCTGGTCTGCTGGTAGTCAGCCTTCACCAGCTGCTGTTGCCTGAATGCCATGATGTGATTCTCGCAGTGATCACAAGTCTTGTATTTTTTCTCATTAGTTTAGCTAGGCTACATAAGCACTGTAGAGTGAAGTTTGTTTTTAAAATGAAGTTATCTGAGCCTTTTATTTACTTAGATTAAAAATCAGGCAAACAGATGACAGGATTTTATCCATTAAGTTGGTTTTTTATTACCTTGGTGACTTTCAGCTAGCTGTGTAAAGCTGGTTCAGCCTGTCCTTCGTATTTCTGGAAGTAGATGAGCTTCACTATGATTTATTATTATTATTTTTATGATTTGAAAAAAATGATGTACATAACTTTCAGGAAATAAACAGAAAAATAAAAAACGGAAAATGCGATTTCACTTCCCGATTCCTTTCTGTAGCTGTGCAAAAGTGTCAGCATTTCTGTGCTACCAGAGGGGAGAGCCCTAAGCTTAGTGGTTTGTGGTGTGGTTCTTTGCCATTCATGTAAAATAACTGCTCAGTCAGCACTTGGAGTTCAGTGACTGATTGCTGTGGCCTTTTTGCTGTCAGATGGTGTTTAATTACGCTGTACTGTTCCATGCATTTCCTGTGTCGTGTGATTGGTGGTGCAGGGTAAACTGACTGCGTAGAATTGAAAAACACAAGCAAGAAACTTTGGCAAATTGCTTCTGACCACCTAAATATTAAACTTTTTTATTTTTTAAGGGACAACTGGCTCTGGTCAGAGGAAAAGCAAGGGTGGTAAAGTAAGCCCCACCAATTTCTCATCGTCCGCTCCCGGTGGTCGGCTGGGTGGCAGCGTTGTTCTGCCGAATGGAGGGCTGACAATAAGGGACCCTGCAACGGGAGCACAGTATGTGCAAATTCAGCTTCTTCAGGTGAGAACTGAGGAGAGGAAACATCTTTACCTTATCATTCTAACTGGAGCATCTGTAGAAGAATCTAAGCGTGTACTCCTCTAGATGGAAATCAGAGGTCTTCAGTGTGTGCTCTGTTCATCGGGGCACTTGCCCACACTCATGGGAAGTTTATAAGTAAAGTGGCTTTAGAGAGGTCTGGAAAAGCCTGAAAACAGCTGATTCAATCATGCAACTGCTGGGACTAGAACCAATGGGCTGTGGAAATAGATGTTTTTATTTTGTTAGTGCTAATATTTTCAGTCCTGCCTGGATCATACAGTGGGCACTGTAACTGCAGGGGGGAGAATTCTGTTCATCTTCCTGAGTGCAACTTTTTCTTCCAGTCCTTGCTGAGAACGTGTGTGCTCTATTCTTGTTCCCTCTTTTCACTGAATGTCTTACATTGCTCCATCTCTCCCATATATGAAGTTAATAAGGATGATGTGAAGATTCCCACAAAATGAAGTTTCAGCTGAAACTGATTTTCCTCTTAACAGCTGAAATAAAAATTAAGATTTCTCTGTCTAAAAGCACCTAATAATCTGTGTGGACTGATTAGTGGAGTATTTTGAACTGTACACTTTTAGCCTGGTGCATATCTGTGTAGTATCCAGAGAGATGATAGGTTCTTTCTGCTTTATTCCTAACAAGATTTGATACATAAGAAGCAATGGGGGGAATGCTTTGTCTCTTTCTGATGGGTGTAAATGCAACTTTTCTGTTAAGTAGCAGCTTCACGTAGCACGGTGAAACTTGTAGCTTATGTCTGAGCCTTAAATATAATGGAAGGTGAACCTTTCCTTCCCTTTTAGATCTGGACAATTTTCCTAGTTGATTATAATAGGGACAATAGGTTGTGTACTGAATAAGGTTTGAATTTAAGTGGTAGTTAGGATTTCTCTTATCTTTGTGGATGTAGGCCTCATACAGTGCAGTGGCTTTATCAATTCTTTAAGACTCTGTGGCTGAGTGGAATTTATTGTTCTGAGATGCTTCGGAGTCTTCTAACAGCATCACATTTCTGCCTTCACAGGATGATCCCTCAGGAGAGGGAGATTTGCCCTTTCAGCTGAGCTCTCAGTCCTCCTCATCACATTCTCAGCTTACGGTGGATTTACCTGTTCACATACTTCAGGTACAGCATGTCAGAGCCATTGGGTTTTATGGCCTTGCTTGAAAAGTGAATAGTTCATTCTAAACACCGATGTTCTGCGTAATGGAAACACCTTGTTTACTATGAGGAGTTCAGATTCAATTGCAGGAAGTAGAGAAGTGTACTGCAAGGGTTATCTTGTGTGTGTTACCAACCTTTGACATGTCACAGGTGGTTGTTTTTCTACCTCTGTTAGTGGGTAATGAATAACAAAATGTTACTCATTTATTATTGGAGTGTCCCATCCTTGTTATCCTTATCCTGTTCTGTAGATACTGTGCAGGTCAAGATTGAGTATCAGAACTGATATGTGTGCAATGGTCTGCAGGAAGGATGGGAAGTGAGACAACAAAATCTTGATCCTAGATGTCAGAGAGGTGTGTACATGGGAATGGCAGTTAGCTGAAAAAAAAAAAACAGAAGCAGTGTCTGAATGGGTCACCAGAGTAGGAAAGCTTTGGAACAATTCAAGCCATTCAGAGCATTTCTCTGATCTTGAGTTAATGTCAGGATGTTCTTACTGATAAGCATTAAGAGGTGAAAGTACTGAACTTCTCTGCTGTTTTTGTTTTTGTTGTTTTTTTTTTTTTTTGCTTCAACAGGAACCACACAATTCTGCTGAAGACGATGCAGGTTCTGATAACTCTCAGTTCACTGGAAGCACAATAAACTTACAGGATCTGGAATGACCATTATTAAGGACAGTTACTTGAAAGCCAATTGAGCAATCGTGTCTGGACAAAATAAGATAACTCTGTGGGTCTTCTTCTGAGGAGAATAGGAAAACTAGGAGTACTGGATTATGGTTGTGCTTTTTGCAATTTGCTAAAGGCAGTTACAGCTGAAAGGTTTTCTTAACAAGTGTAAGTCCTACTTGATGTGCCTGTGTAGTGTAACCCAGCTGCCTAGCGGTCGCAGCCCAGCGCAGGCTGCTGTACAGTGTTGTTTCAGGGAGAAGTACTCGATTAAACTTCAAACTGAGGTAATATTTACTCTTTTCAGAGGAAAGCAAGTATTCTACAGCTAACAGAAATTAATAATCCTGCCTATGACAGCTCGAACTTTGCTAAAATTTACAGATATTTTACATGCACACAGGTGCACACAGATTGTTCTGGCCCCCGTGTTTTGGCAGAAAACTGGAATCAAGTGTCACATGTAACAAAGCTGATGCCCTACACCATGAAAATGAAATGTTCTAAAGTTTTTGTTTTAGCAAGCTAGATTCTGCATATTAACTTAGCTGTGAATCAGTTTGTAGCTCATGTTGAGTTTCTCCCTTTCCTTGTTCCCTCATCCCAAATAATCTGCTGAATTCTTCCAGCAAAACTTGAAAGAGAAACGCAATAGAATTGTACTCACTGTAAGTGATGAGCTAAGACTCCAAGTGTCGAGAGAGGTTGGTTTTTATCTTTGTGTTCCCTTTTTTGGGAGGGATTTTGACAGTCACATAAATTAAGCACCTTGATTATGTCTCACCTACGAACTGCTGCCAGGTTGCTTGTAAACTGGCCACTACCTTCTTATTTTTTATATATTTTATTATTATTATTTTTTAACTCTGTCAACACTTGTTCTTTACTGATATCCCAGAGTATCACATGCATGTGGGGTTTTCGGCTGGTTTACAGAATATGCAGTTGTTAGAATTTCATGGGAGAGGAAAAAGAGCTGTTAGTAAGACCTGCCTCACTGAAAAACTGCTATTTCTACTGGAGGGCAGTGGAAGAGGTTGTACATACTGAACTTGTCTGGACTGCAAACACCTAAGTAAGTATAGAATTGCATAGGGGGGAAAATTAACAGCCTTTGGTTACATTTTGAGGTAGTAATTTAAAGGTTTCTCATGGTGGTGTACTAAATGCCTATAAAATGACGTATAGGAATTTGATAGAACGGTGTATGTAATGGTTTTTTTTATTCTCAATGAGGTGTGTGTGCACATATGTGTCTGTTTTTTTACAGAATAAGGTATGTCATGCAGAAAAATATTGTGATCTTTCTAATCTTGCACATATTTATTTGACAGTTATACTGATGTTGAATTCACATGAGGTCATTCAGAAAAGCTTTTACTTCCTGTGCCTTTTTGAACTCTGTATGTGTCCAGAAGAATGCTTTTTTTGGTTGATGACTTAATGGGAAAAAAGAAAAAAAAAGTATGCAGGTTACATCCAACTTCAGATCCCAATTCCTGGACAGTATTTTATCCTCTGGTTGAACCAGTTTTATTTTTCTATCTTTTGTTTAAGTATCTGAGCATTGAGGTGTCTCTGTTCCTTTCATCCTGAGTTTACAGCTTATGCCCAGGGATTCTTGTTACCCTCTCAGGTGGGGTTTCCAAACCAAACTCGCTGGTAGGGGAGATCATTTACTTGATGGCTGTGACCACAACATAGAATCCTCTCCTGAAAGGTAGGAAGGTTGAGGAGGAATCATGCTGAAGGGACAAGCGATTCTTGCTCAGTGCTCACCGTGCTCCATCTCTAAAAGCTGAGACTCCTCAAGCTGCCAACGCCTGTGTTATTCTGTTCTCAAGGACCATACCAGTTCTTAATCTAATGCAGTGGCCAAGGAACACTCCATCTTTTTATGGGACTTGCAACTTAATCTTTCTACTTCTGAAAATGTACCTCACTCAGCTTTGTAAATGAATGTAAAGTGCTAACCTCTTGGGGCCGACAAATGGATCACTTGGCTTGAAGTCCATTGCTGGCAATGGATGCCTGAAGAACTACTGGTGCAAAAGGGTTAATAAAGCTTTTTTTTTTATGGTCAGCTTGTCACTGGGTATCGTTCTTTATATGATTGCACCTGACATAAAGTTAATGGTCAACGGCTTTGTTTCTGTAGAGCTTGTTTGTTTTTTTCCTCCTTTGTATCTTCACAATAGCAGAGTGGAGTCCACCAATCCATCCTTCACATTAAGGCAGAGACTTCATTTTATAGCTGTTCACCTGATCTGTGGTTATAATAAATGGTAAGTGCTTGGCTTAGTTGTGCCATGGCAAAATTGTTACCCAGGACATTGGTCAGGTTTTTAGGGATAGAGCTATTTGCATCAACAACTGAATGAGAAAAGCATTGCTAGCAGGAGCCAAAGAAGCAAATTAAGAGCACTTATTTTATTTCCTTAGTTAAGAAAAACAATGAGTGGTTGCCTGACGCTCCTTTCCTTTGGGTCTTGCAGAGGTAGGAGGAGTTTCATGATGTTCTCACACTGCAAATAGCTTAAGCTCAGACTGGAGCTACAGAAACATTTTTCTAGAGTGCTGTCAACCCTATGTTAAGTAGTAAAAGCTGTGCTGTCAGGTAAAATAGTGCAGTATTTCTTCTTTCTCCTTATCGCTTTGTTCTTGGTTGTGCTTTTTCTTTTCCTTCCTGGCAGGTGGGCTGGAACGGAACATCAGCCTTCTGCCGGTCTGCAGAGAAAGAGGCAGCACGTGTTTGTTAGAACAGCACCACGAACCACGTGTGCTGTAGGGTTCTCTTGCTGCTGGGATCATGCTCCTTGCTAGCTGTTTTCGTGGCAGGGTTGAGTTCCTCCCCCATTTAATGGCTGGGTTTGGGTGCCTCATCTTCCCCGAGGTGGGCTGCAGAGGTGAGGTGTGTTCCTATGGATCGCTGCACTTACCTTTTTCTGCATGATTGCCTGTGCTCTCTCCAGGGCCCGTTGCAGTTTCTCCTCCTGCAGCTGCTTCTGCTGTTGTTCCTTTTCCTCTCTCAGCCTTTTGAAGGGAGCAAAAAAAGGAGGTTGGAATGTGCACAGATATACAAATATGCTTTTGACCCATTCCTTTTCTAATAGTGTAAGACCACTGGAATGCAGGGATTTGGATATAGATGATGCTGGGTTTTAAATGCTCTTTGAAGGTTTTTGTTTTGTTACTCTTTTGTTTTGATTTTTGGAGGCAGGCCGGGGCCAAGGTTTGGTCAGATTCCTTCACAGATTCTTCTGTTCCATCCCCAGAGCAGAAAAAGTGTCTTGCTTCATCAAATCACAGAATCATTTTAATTGGAAGGGACCTTTAAAGGCCATTAGTCCAACTCCTTGCAATGAACAGGGACATCCACAGCTCCATCAGGTGCTTAGAGCCTGTCCAGCCTGACCTTGGGTGTCTCCAGGGCCACATTTCTTTTGTAAGTGAAGAGTACAAAATCATTCACAGAATGTAGGGAGGAAGTGTCACATCCTTTCTACCATAAAGGCAAAGAAAGACTCAGAGAAAGAAGTACAAAGAAAATGTCACTTTGGCTTTAAATTCTCAAACTACTTTTCTTCAATGAATCTCATTTACCCAGGGATGGCCAGATACAGTCATCTCCTCAGTTATGTCTTTGCTGTTTGCATGGGAACTTCCTTTTGTGTAACAGAGCCAATGGCAATGTCTAGGAACATAAATTTGTTGCGTTAATTGACTCCTGTTTTAATTAAGAAGCACAATTTAAACTGCAGAGATTTGTAGAAGAAACATTTGAACGCCGGCATTGCTTACAGGTGCCCTATATTCTTAAACAGAGGAGTCAATTTCTGTTCAATCAGTTCAATACAGGCACTTTCCTGGCCTCTCCTAACGCAGCTCTGGGCTGCTGCTTGCTGCTTGAGCTGCAAGCACTGGGAGTGTGAAATTATCAGAGGGCTAAATTGGGATGTGGGTCCCCCAGGCTTTCAGATTACTGTTAATGTTTCCTAGGTTGATCTGACAAATTCGGCTATTTCAGGGGCTTTGATTTTGATTGCCAGTAGTTAAAAATAGAGGCCTCAGTTCTAGGAGTTCTTGTCTTACCTCATTCTCTGTTCTTTTTTCTTGGCTTTTTCAATCTCTGCTATCTTTGCAGGTGGAATTCTTTCCAGGTTGTCCAGTAACTCAATGAGCTTTTTTTCTATTGCTGCTAGCATCTCCACTGTCTCCATGCCTTCCCTGATTTCTCCAATGCATTGACCATAGATCTCCCTCACTTTTTTTCTCAAGCTTGCAAGCATTTTATCCTAGAGAAAAGAGGAGATACAGTGAGATGCACCAGTTGGATCTTGCCTGGTTAGAACCACTATATCCCTCTAAAAGAATAGAGAAGGAAATCAGAATGCTTTCTCTTAGAACTTGATTGCTTGCTTCTCAGTTTGCTTAGCAGTGCCTGGGATGGATGGCTATGGCTGGAGGAGCAGCTCATGGCTGTGCTGTCCCACTTTACCTTGGGGTGTACCTGGACATCAGCTTCACGTTCTGAGGAAAAGTCTTCAACTCTGAGCTTCAGGTCTGCTGCTCTCTCTTCCAATTTGGTGACAGTGGATTTCAAGGTGAGCAAAACTTCTTTCAGCTGCGTTCTCTCCCGATCCCTGGGCCAGAAAAGAGAGGAGCTGTTTGGAAAACTATTCTCAAAACATCTGGTTCCTCTCCTGCTTCCACCCAGGCTGTCCCCGCTGCTGCCGGTAGGTGGAAGCATCACTACACTCCTTTTCTGGGCGACTAGCACCTCGGCTCGGAGAGCAGATTGGGTTTTTCCGGGATATCGGTTACTGGGGGAGGGGGGGGGAGAGAGAGCACAGCTAAGTAATGCTGTAGGTTTTGTGACGAGTCAGTGTGGGAAGTAGATTCCGTTTAAAAGCACTCACTTCAAATGAGAAAAGGTGTGTCTACCTGCCATCTGCAATCACACTTGGGTCTGATGCCTTCCTCTAGGAAGGGTTTGAGTCAAAACAGGCACTGGTCTGGATCTCTCAGGATGAGCCTTGTTTCTGCCTTTGATCTTCCTTTAGAAGAATTACACCATCCTTCCTGGCTTACATCCCCCAATGCTAAAAGCATCAGCTCCCCAGCCTGTGCCTTCAGGGCTGTGCACCAAGGTGCGAGTACACTGCATCTGATAGGGAAGAAATTCTTCACAATAAACGTGGTGAGGCACTGGCACGGGCTGCCCAGAGAGGTGGTGGTGCCCCATCCCTGCAGACAGCCAAGGTCAGGCTGGATGGGCTCTGAGCACCTGATGGAGCTGTGGGTGCCCCTGTTCATTGCAGGGGAGTTGGAACAGATGGCCTTTAAGGGACCCTTCCAACACAGAGGACTGTTTGAAAGTTGGGGCATAAGGACCCCCCTCCCACCACTCACCACAGGGTCACACTCACTTCCTTTTTTGTGTGTTGATGAAGATGTGTTGAAACTCATTCATTTCTTTCTCTGTCTTCTGGAAATTACAGAGGTAGGAGAAATTCTGTTCCTCCATTTCCGTTAAAATAGACAGCAGTTGTTGGGGGTCAGTAAAATACAGCTCAGGCTCCTGGAACAGAAAATGTGTGATATTTATAAATAACTGCTTGTGTAGTGTTGCAGTAAGGCTATAAGCAAGGTAAGGGCAGGTGCTCCTGATCCCAGCTGTTCTTTCTCTGCCCACGTAAACATAACTACGTAAACCTGGAGGCTTTGTCCTCAGCTCATCCTTGTTCTGCTGCTTTGATTTGAAGAAGGTGCCCTAAAGCTTGCATATGTTATTTAACAGCATTGGTCAGTATTGGAAAAAAGTGTTTTTCTACGGGAATGTTGCCTAAATAACATGTAATTTGTAGCTCACTCTCAGAAAGAGACGTTTCCATGGTTTTTGGAACGTAGAAACCATTCAATATCAAAATAAAATGTTTTTGTGACCCTTTTCTCTCTATTCCAGATGAAAACATAAATCTGGGTGAGAGGAACGAGGGAAATGCCCTCTGGTGCCTTTGCTTACTGGAGTTATTTGTGGCTTTTCCCCAGCAGGACAGTCAGGCACGGCCCCCAAACACTGCTATGTGACCCCAATTAAATGTGCTTACTTAGGGGATATTACTGAGCAGACCCTGGCCTAGTTTAAAGAAGTTCTGTCATGCAGCAGAATGGCTCATTGGTTTCTTATGGCAGTGGATGTGGGTGCTGAAAGGTGAGTGTTTTGCACCTGCTGATTTATTTTATTTTTTTCACTCCTGTAACCTCCAGGCAAGCCTTTTTCTGAAGCTTTGCCTCCTTACAGACAAGGGTGGTGAGATTTGTCCTCAGCAACCAATGTGGTGAACTCAAGAAAAGCAGGTGGTAAGGCTCATTTCAGGTGGCATTTTGGGGAGCAAAAAGTGTTGCAAACATTTGAGTGAGAAATCTTCCCTTTTGGATATAGTGAAAACTTCATTAACCTCAACACCTCCTACTGTGATCATATCTTGTTGCAAGGTGGGGAGCTTTGAAATGATGGTAGGATTTTGGAAAAGAGAGGAGAAAAGCTAAGCCAAAATATTTAAAATATGGCTTGCAAAACCATGAATATTCATACATATATAAACATATAGTTATTGGCAATGGTAAGACCTCAACCCCACAAAAAATGGTTAGAAGGTGACGGAAATCAGTTATGTCAATACGTGACACAGGACAAAGTTAAATATTTCAGTGTTAGGCTTCTGACCTCATCTTCATCCGAGCAGGCTTCACTCTCTTGATCCTCCGATGAATTTCTGAAAAAGCATTTTGTGTTATCAGGCCCTCAGAGAAACGACAACTCAAAAGAGACTTTGTTAATATACCATGAGTGAGGCAAGCAGCCAATGCTGACACCTACAAGCAGCCTCTGGCTCCAGCTGCAGGTAGCTGGCAGCTTCCCGTGTTGGCTGTTTGCTGCTGATCAGTCCCTGGAGCATTCACAAATATGGCTCCTCTTGTCTGTGGGCTGCTGAGGGGTCAGTAGGAGCTGTAACCCTGGCCCACAGGAGGAGCGAAAACCTCAATTTGTGTCTTCATAGTGCCAGGCCCACCTGCGTCCACATTGCTGCTGCCATGTGGCAGCAGCCCAATAATGGCAGTGGTTTTGTGTAAGGGGTGACCCTGTCTATGGTACAGATGCCTCTTACTGCCTGGGGCCTGTTACTGAAAGAAGATGGCAAATGCAGTGTCTACTTTGTCCTTGGTCCTTGTGTCCTGATGACCGAACAGCTGGTTGTGGCCAACAGCACGAACCAGAAACTCAGCCACAAACAGGGCACAGAGAAGCTTTGCTCCAGGACGGTGCCCAGGTTCTACTTTGAGGAGTAGGTTTCCTCTGTTCCAAACTCCCAGTCAGTTGAGTGCTCTCTATTATTTAAGTTTATTGAGGTTGGTTTGGTTTTTTTTTTTGGTTTTTTTTTTTTTTTTGTCAGGTACTTACAGATTTTCTCTTGTGACAGGTTTCAGGAGGCTTTTGAGCCATGGTCTGGTCCCAGATGATAAACTTGTGTTCAAACTTTCTGCAGACGGCAGAGAAATTGGCACATCTATACCACTTATTCTCATCCCAATGGTCAGACCCTGGCCTGGACACAAGAGGAGATGGACAGCTGGAGCACGAGGCTGCACTATAAAGGAGTGGGCAGTTCTGCCAGGGCACTTACCCTTCTCCAAGGCACTTCCTTTGTCAGCTTTGGATGCTGTTTTCAACTTCTTTTCACGCTTTTTCTCATATTCCTCCTGCCACTCTTGTGGAGATAGCTGATAGAGGAAGTCTCTGTACATCTTGTACTCTCGCAGAGAATTCTCAAATCTGGTTATATCACTGGGGTGGGAAAAGTGGGCAGTTTGTTAGCAGGGAGTTTGTTGTTTGAGTGAGTTGTTTTTAACCCCTGACACTCAACTACACCTAGAGAAGGGACAGGGAGCTCGTGTCCTCGTGCACACGGAGATAAATGTGAACCTCTCTGTGTTGCAGGGGCTGGTAAAGGCTAGGCAGGGATAGCGTGTGATTCTTACCTTTGGAGGTTCATTATTTGGGAACTAATTGCGTGGATCTCTACTATTTTCTTTGCTTTCACTGCAGATTCTTTTTCAGCACTAGAGAAAAATACAGCAAAATGAGTCACAAAACAGTTTAGCAATAAAGAGGTAGTGAGCTGAGATGCATGTAAAAAGATGGGGAGGAACCCTAGAAACCTCTCTGTTGTAGGTGAGGACATACCATCAGTGACATTTGTTTCCTGCCTGAAGGCCCTGCCTTGGCAAAGGGAGCGTGGGGGCCAGCAGCACTTCCAGGTCAGAGTGTTGCTAATTTGGCTGCTGCTAAGCATCAGTTTCTGCTCTGCCTTTACGTATTGGGCTGAAGTGCCTGGCTTGCTTTGCTTCAGGGACTGTTCCTGCTGTGAGGGGTTAGGGAGAAGAGTCTGCCTGTTATAAGTATTGTGAGAAGTGGTGGGAACAATGGTGGATTCTTTACTGCAGACAAATTGAAGGCTTCATTAATAAGGGGATTTCCCAGCTACTGGTTCCTTCTTCTCTTTCACTGAATGTGTGGAGAGAAAAAACTACCAGGTCTGTAACTCTGGGAAAACCCAGATGCAGGCAATCTGAGGTTGGATACTATCCAAAACCCTCTGGGAAATGTCAAGCGAAAAGCCTCCTTTATCCAATGCAAAAGAGTTGCATGGATGGTTCCCTCAACTTCCATTACATTTTCAGGGCTTGAATGGAGCTTTTATGGTTCTCCTTCAGGAACTCATCAAATACGGCAATATCCTTCTCCAGGTTGTTTTCAGCCTTTTCCAGTTTTCTTTCCTCTTTTTTTGCTATGTTCTCCAACTTTTGAATCTCTTCTTTCTTTACTGCTATGGCATACTGAAATGAACCCAAAAGATAACATGGTCACATTGGTTGATACTAAAGGTGTGTTGGTTTGGCTTTGCTCTTGGTTTCCTTCTTGCCTTACAGTTGTTGGCAGAAGGTAATGACTCAAAACAAGACATGTCTTAGTGCAAACTAGGCACATAGAGACCAGAGATATTTCAGAAGTAACACAACAAATAAGCAGCGACAAAGATGATTCAGCAGTGTTATAGCACAGCGATAGAGATGAATAATGGGGATATTCCAACGTTATTTTGATTTCATAATGGCTCTCAGGGATAAATTATATGAGTAGAGCAAAAGCCAGAAGGTCAGTATATGTGTGTATTCTGCAAATTAAGGGGGAAATAATTGGATGGCAGCCACTGGGTGATGTGAATGGCCTATTTCATTTCTTAGTGGACTGATGGTCTATAGACCATAAGTGTCTTTAACATGTGGCTTGGACAATCAAGTTAATGAGATCTGATATATGCCCTGCTGATGTAACCTCTAGGCAATGGGTCTCTTGAAAACAAACAAAAGCCCTAGGCAACAATGAAGGACAATTAAATGAGCAGAGAGTAACATTCTTAAAGAAAACCAAGTACCTCAAGTAAAAATATCTCTCTTCTATCATTTATGTAGTCACGGAAAGTTTCTTTTTCTAGTGGATAATCTGAAATGAGGACAAAAAATTCATCAGATGACTGGGAGAAATATGGTCATGCAAAGAACAGTGAATATGGTAGCAGCTATAAGCATGGATGTGGTTGGCATTGGAGCTAGCAAGACTGATTATTTTAATACCATTTTGACACTGGTTTTGATCAGTTTCAAATGGACTCTGTAAAAACAAGTAGAATTGAGGGGAGAATCTTGTCCTTACAAAGATCAAATTTGGTTCTCTAGACATTAATGGCAAAGCTACTCCTCTGTCAGAGGCAGAAAACGACAGGTTCATGTACACCAAAATCCAGCTCCAGGTCAGCTTAGTAAAAATGTCCTCACAACACAAGGTCCTGCAAGCTCTCAGCTGATTTCTGTGCTGCCTCCCAGGGCTCAGAGCTATTGTGGAAGCCACAGGGGATGCTGGAACCCAGGCTGCCCTGGTGATGTGACATCTGCTGCAAATGTAAAGGCATGAGATGGACACAGCCCAGTCACACACAGGCTATCAAGGTGAAGCAGGTAACTGCTGTGCCTACAGGAGCTCACCAAGGTCAGCTAGAACTGCCAGTCCCATCCCCTTTTTGATTTTTGATTTAGGCTGCTCTCCAGCTGAACAGCGCTGCTACGAAGACAGGAACCACTTCCTACCTTTTTTAATGGCTATCTTCCATGAAAGACACTCCTGAAGAGCTTTCAGTCTCTCTTCATCTGTTGCCTGTTTTCTGTTTTCTTCTTCCTCTTCCTTTTGCAAAGCTTTCCTAAACCCTTTTTCCTTTGCCTTGTTTTTAGCAGAGTAAGTCATTTTCTCATGAATTTTCATGGTCTTCATCTTTTCACGTTCCTATAGGAAGTCAGTTATGTGGACAAACTGATAATCTGTTTTGTCTGCTGTGGTTTTTAGTGACATCAGGTGTTCATTCACAGTGTAGAAATTTGCAGCTACTAATAACCTGCTGATGTAAATGCCTAAGTCTGGGTTAAGAGAAGCTCTTGAAACCCACTCCAAAGCTCTCTGGAAGGTGAAATGTTGTTCATACTCAGTGCTTTCACATGGGCTGAGGTCTGTAATTCGTTGCCCTCTGTACAGATTGGGCGCAGGTGAGGCTGAGGGCATTGCTCAGCAGACATCCTTGGTGCCCTTCCTCATACTTAATGACCTTGAACCCAAGCTAAAATCAAATTATCAGTCAGCTGAGGAGGCTTGCATAAGCTTGTTGGGAGGCTTCTCTTTGTGACTTAGTAACAAAGACCTCTTGCTTTCACATCACTGCTTGGTTTCTGCAGCTGCATCAATGCTTAGGCCTTTCTGAGACATCATAACCTCTTTGTGATTTCCCAGTGCTGCTGGATCATGTGCCCTAGGGAAAATTCTCATTGGAAATAAGAAAGAAAGAGACATTCCAGAGACCCAGCTCTGTTGGGTTGTAATTCATTGTTTTATGGAGAGAATTGTTTTAAGGCATGAAGCCCCTGTTCTCCTTCTTCCTAGGGCTGTTGAACTGGAAGGAGGGAGACCTTGCACCAAAATTTTCTGCAGATAATCAACACTAGCAGGCATATTCTCCAGGAACAGGAGAAAGTGGCAAACCTACCTTTGGGTATGGAAGCAAAATGATAGTGCATAGGTTGTGCAATAGCAACTAGCAGGTCTGTGCTCACACTGCTCTGTGTAAGGTTAATTTCACATCGTGGATCTCAGTGAATTTGTAGCTGATAAAGGGGAATCTGAGCTGAATTTAGCAGGTATTGTTTTCCTTATGCATGGTCTGGTTTTATGTTGGTTAGTTGCCTGCCCTAGTGGGCCTCTTGAGTAACACATGGGTGTAAAGAACATACATACCTCCTTTGCCTTTTTTCTTTCCTTGTTCCTTATTGCAAAAATATCAATATCTGGAGGAATTGTAAATGGATTTTTGTAAATGGATTCTTTATCCTCTTCTGGGAATTCTGCAAGAAATGGACAAGGATGTAGAAGATACAAGGCAGGATGTCAGAACCCAGTGCAACGGGACTTGGATCTGCTGCATCATGGCAACATGTCTCTTGAGTTGACTTCTGGTTGGTGACAGTTGCCTGCTCGCTTTAACATTTAATATTAGCATTTAACAAACTCAATCCAAGATTAGAAACCTCAATATACTAAGTGCCACCTGGGTCTCTTCCATCCTCTTGTTACTGGTAGGTGTGCAGTCCTCTCTGGAGAGGCAATGAGGTGAGTTTAAGATGTAAGTCATAACTGTTAATGTAAGCTTAAGCCCTTAGTTGTCAAAGCCTGAAGACAGTTAGTTTATCTGTAAAATAGGAAAGCTTTAGGCAGGTCTGATCCTGGAGAGCAGGGCACTGTTTACTCCTGTGCAAGGAGATACTCGGCTTCATGATTTCACGGTGGGATATAAAATCAACTTTGATAGATGCTCAAGCTCAAATTAGTATCTGAGTGATCGAGAAAAAAGGGAGTCAGGACCTCAGACCTTGGCTGTACAAGGAGATCTGTCAGAGGGAAGATTCATTCCTTGCCCTTCTGCAGAGCCAAGAGCTGCGTTCCTTTGCATTCTGTCTTCCCATACCCTAACCTCATTTACTGAAGTCTTTGTTCACTGTTTTCCTCGGGCAGAACACTTACTGAAGCTTTTGGGAGCCTGTCTTATCTGATCATGGGCAGAAGACTATGAACACAGACCTCTCTGACCAAAGAACAGAAAGCTGCTGGAGCATCGTGACCTTACCTGACACAAGGTAGGTTTCCATTCCAGGTTTAAAAGAGAGACTCTCACAGACTGACTCTTCATATACAGGTGGCATCCTTGATTCTGGCCCAAAGAAAAGCATAAACAAATTAATCAACTGAGACCTGCTGGAGACTGATGCAGTGAGGTTTTACAGCAGCAATGGACCTCGGGGCTTTCTGGATCTTAACCACCGAGTTCCAGTTCTGATCCAAACCCACACTTTCATCTGCACATTGCTGGTTCGCAAGCAACAGTTCTATTCCCTGAAGCTCTTACCAGAAGTTGTTCCAGCACTGTAAGTGCTGCGGGTTTCTTGTGATAAGGCTGAATGACTGCTGGACAGCACAGACATGCTGTAGGAAATTTGGTCACATTTAATTTTAGACTGGCAAAGCGATGAAAGTTAGTTTTTAGTTTCTCTGAAACCAGTCTCCTTTGTAGTCTTTGCTGCAGGTCCTAGGGGAAAAGGCATAATTTAATGATCTCACTCACAGAGAACAGATAGATCATTGTTACAGTTATCCTTGAATCAAAAAAGGCAGAGTCCTGGTACTGGTTCAGTTGATGTAATTCTGCTGCTGTATTCCTGGTCCATACAACCATAAGCACAGCAGAAAATATCCTCTTCCGCTTGAGCTAGTTTTAAGGCTATTTTAAAGCATCATTATTTGCTGTGAACAGCCTCCAGTTTTTATGTATTTTGAGCTAAACTCATCTGGCCTAATTTCCCTGTATGTCCTTGGTGTGATGTGTTTCCTATTGGCTGTGTTTCTGCAGCTGCCCAATTAGTGTCTTATTCTTCAGGTGTCAGACTTTCAGCACTGATGAGATGCAGTCTGAGGTAGAACTAAAGCAGTTTGTAATGCACCCCAATGTTTTCTCTCTCCTTTTCTGGTCTCAAAGTACCCACTCCAAAATCCTTTCCAAAAGCAGTATTTGGTGAATACACTTTGTAAAATATGTGGGGTGATTGTAGCAAACACCTGAGTGTTTGGCCCTCTTAGAGCACACCTTGACTTCTATAACCCAAAAGCCTTCCCATAAAAACCTTATTGTTCCACGGGGTTGTTCCAATTTCTGCTGCAAGGAATAGGACTGGAAAGCAGGACTAGGCAGAGGATACTGGCAGGTGGACAATAAGCTGTCAGTGAAGCTCCCTGAAATAAAAAGCACTTTATATTACCTTTAGCAAAGGATACAGAGCCGTTTCTAAGATCAATTTATAAACATTCTTGGTCTGAGATTGTTGATTTTTCTAATAGATTGTTTGCACAGCACTTTGGAAACAATTCCAAAAGCTGCAGAAGCACTGGTTGTGCTAATTACAATTATTACACTCTATAATGCAAATAGAAACTGCTTTGTTGCTGGAATCATTTGGCATATATATCTCACTGCCTCTTAGATTTTTACGCTTCAGTAGCTACACATCAGTGTCCAGCAGGATGTGAATCAGATAAAGCATTCAGGGTTTTAATCTATAGAAACAGTTATTCAGTGATTTTCCATTTCATCAAGCTGCTGTGCAGCAGGAAAAAAACAAAAAACAAAACAAAAAAAACCCCACAGAATAACCAAGTAAACATGCAAACAATTCTAAAAATGACAGAAGAAGATTCATCCATCATCTTCCCAGAGTAGACAACAAGCTCGTGTTTTGTACACTCAAATAATACACAGTGCTGGAACTCGCAGAGAAGGGAAGCAACTCCAGGTTTGGATCTGTGGGGCTCTATCCCACCACTGTGCCCTATCCCCCTGTACACCCCCAGCTCGCACACAGAGGCAGAGACTGCTAACGCCTGAGATCTCCCATGAGACACCCACTGCCTCCTCTTGTCTGAGTACAGCGTTACATCCTATGCTGACAACAAAAGAAAATGATGTAGGTGCCCTCCCCCCATTATTTTTTAGCTTCTCACCCCATGGACTCCACGCTCCTCACAGCCGTGGTTGGACAGGGACAGAGGCATGGATACGGCTGGCACTGTGCTGTTGATATTCTGTTTGTGCTGCCATGGAAACCTGGGCTCCTGCTGCTGGGTGACTCTTGTAGCTGGGCTCCCTGTGTTTGGGACAAGTGTTCCTGGCCTGGTGCAGCAGAGAAAAGGCTCACAGGGTCCAGCTGCAGTGAGAAGCATCATGTCACAGGTATTTCTATGCATCCCTAAGTTCTCAGGTAGAAAAGGGGCTCAGGTGCTTAACCCCATCTCCGCAATAAAGCACTGGGATGTGGAACTGGGAGCTGGAGTCCTGACAGCGGAAGTGACTGCAGTTTTCAGTCACTGGCACAGGCTGCCCAGGGAGTGGTGGAGTCATCATCCCTGGGGGTGTAAAGATGTGGCACTGAGGGATGTGGTCAGTGGGCACGGTGCGGATGGTTGGGGTTGAATTGGATGGCCTTAGTGGCCTTTTCCAACCTAAGTGATTTTATGGTTCTTTATGACTTGATAAACTATCAGTTGAGGAAAGCGAATTATGGAGGAAACGATTTTGGGTTTCTGTATTTTCTCTTTCCTGCTTCTGAGAAGACCAAATCAATTCCAAATGGATCACATTCTTCTTTAGACTCTCTATTAAAATAATTCTGGCTTTCCAAAATAGCAGTTTCCTTTATTTACAGATAGGTTTCCAAACAGCTTTTTCCATCTGAATAAGTCATGCAATAAATAGCACACTTTTCTGTAAGTGCAAAATCCCATTTGATTGTTTTAATTCTTTTCCGTGATTGCTGATTATCAAGAGATTGGACTTAGGCAACAGAAGGGAAATGCTTACAGAGGAAAAAAAAATAATAATAATCTTTATTCAGTACACGAGTACTTTGATTCTTAGTACTGATACAAAAACCATAGGATTTTTTTTGGATATATTTTAGGAAATTTCCCAGATGCACTGGGAGTATCAAAAATAAGACTGTAGAATAATTTCTATTATCAAAAAAATAATTTAGGAGTAAATTGTACTTAAAATACACTTTTCTGAAGGTGTAATATCAAATGCCCTTTGTTCATAAATACCAGTTTATTACAGGATTACAAATTTGCAGTAGTAGCTATCACAGAAACAGATAACATAGAGAACAAAGGCATTGGAACAGCTACAGCTCTGTCTGGCCTAATCCCTACATCATGCAGATATCTATATATCCATTGCTCTGTTTTGTGCTAAACTCTGGTTTCCCAAAACTGGAACAGTGATTATTTAAAATCAGAAATGTGTTTTGGGAAATGTGGAAATGGTGTTGGTGGCTCATATCCCGGACGTGCCATGAGCCACTTAGGCTTTTGTGTTTCCTTGAGGGCAAAGAAGTTTTTAAGGCCAGAAGGACATCTGGGGTTTATTCTTAGCTACCATTAACTTGGTTAATGAATGGAATAAATATCATGTGCACATCATGGGAAAGGCTGCTTGGTGGTGTAGGCTGTGCAGCTGACTGGTGCTGTAGCTCGTTAGGGATTTCTGGTTGTGCAGTTTAGCTTCAGGGCACCGCATTTTGGGCCTTATTAAATGCCTGGTCTGTGCTTCCCTGATGTAGATCTGGGGAAGACAAGCTGTTTGCATGAAAAGAGTTGAGGATTGCCTCTTGTGTTTCCAACAGGATGATGTCTGCAGACCTGGGGGCCTTTAGGGGAGGGTTTTGTTATGGCATAGACTTGGGTCTGCAGGATATTCTTGTCTCCAAATGAAGATGTGGGTGGAGGTGGTGGAGTTGCAGTCTCTGGAGTTGTTTGAGAACCGTATAGGTGCGGACATGGCTTAGTGGGCAATATTGGTGATAGGTATTTGATGATCTTAGAGATCTTTTCTAACCTTAATGATTCTGTGATATGTTTATTTCTTTGCTCCATTTATTTCTTCCTTGGAGGGAGTTGCTTGCCTTCTCTGCTCCTTTTCTGACATGGGGATGCTGATCCCTACCCCAGAGGTGCTGTGAGGGTTAATTAGTGTTGGCAAAACATTTTGAAACGGCTGATTGAGAAACGCTGCCAGAGATGAAAGCTAAAGAAGTATCTCGGTAAATAAATATTCCTTTGTAGTCTTATCTTTACAGGAAACTCCCTGTATACCTAGGATACTGCACAGGTCACTGAGCAGCCATCTCCTCATTGCCTGAAGTCTTCTCAAGGAGACTCATTTGTTTAAGTTTTTCCACTTCAATTTCTTCAAAGTGTGCCCTGATACACACCACACAAAGGGAACAACCTAACTAACAGCAAGTGGCACAGAAACACCACATGGATTGGTGGTTATTTTCTTTCTCTGGAGCTCTTGTTTTTCTTTTTCCTGCTGAACAATGCATCTGCAGAACCCAGCGCATCCCAAGAGGAAGAAAGGCAAATCAGAGCCAGTTTCCAGGGTAGCAATCAAGGCAGGAGGAAGGGATTGAGGTCCATAGCACATACAGTGTAAGTGCTCTACTGGAGGTGGCCAGCTCTGTCTGACTGTGGTCTGCCAACAGCACTGCTGCTTACCCTTTCCCTTCATCTGAAGCTTTCTTCAAGGAGGGATTTTATCTCAAGGTGAATTTTTTTAGCTACAGGTTGGCAGCAATCTTGTACTGCAGGGCTCAGTGACCCCCATTTCCCATTCTTTTGTGTTATAGGTGAGTTTTCCAGCCACGAGGGACACCAAGAAAAGCCTCTGGCTCTTGAAGGAGAAATACCCCCAGAGACTGCTCTGCAGGAAGAGCTGCCAGCTCAGCTCTCCTCGTGGCAAACAGGCTGGTGGAGCAGGACTTATTCAGGTCATCCTGCCACTGGTCCTTACTTCCAGTGTCTTCCTGGGCTACCTCACCCAACATGAAGACCAAAAGGCCTTCAGTGGTCCTTCCCAAATGGTGTTGCTTTGTGGTTCAGCCATCTCCAGCCATGTTTGTGTGAGGCTCTGCTAGCTCCTGATTCCAGGTCCAACCTCCTGCTCCAAGCAGGGCTAACTCAGCCTGCACGAGGCTTTTCCCAGCTGATTTGAAAACCTCCAAGGATGCAGATTTCAGATGTTCTCCAAATAGCAGAAGGTAAGGTCTAGGAGGCTGAGCTTGGGCCCCTGAATGGCCCCACTGCCTTGCTTTGGTAATGATATAAGTAAACGATATTGTTACAATTTCAAGGCCAGTTCTGAAGAACTGTTTAGCCCTAATCCCAAATCGAAAAATAGTTCCAGCTTTCCCTCAAAGCTAAGTACATTTGGGGCCTAGGAGTTTGCATTTGGCCCACTGTAAAGAGAGTCACAGTGAGCTGAAGCCAAAGAGACTTGCCTAACCAAGGCTATAAATTCTTGCTATTTGCAGGGACAATTGACCCAGGAACACGAGGTTGCAACTTCGTGATTTTACATTAAGCTCTTAAGGCACCATTCCAGCCGTTTTCCTGGCGCTTGCTTTGTGGCAAAACTACAGCTGCTGTGACTGCATGGGAACCAATCCAGCTGAAAAATACCCTGCCCGAGGAAAAGATCCTTTTATTTTGCTCACCATGATGGGCTGAGGAAGAGACGCATGGGATGGTGGGATTGCTTCTGTCAGTGCCAGTCTGTGCTCAGGGAGATGGTGAAGCTGCTGTTTGTGGTGGTGGAACCGGTGATCCCATGCACCCTGCACACGTAGTTCCTTCGGAGGGGCATGTGGGTCAGAACAAGAAGGATTCCTGAAGTCATGGGTCAGGCTAATTTCTAAGAGCTGCAAAAGAGAGCACATGCTTTATGGCTCCAAACCATTTCTGCTCATGTGGAAAGGATTAAAGATAAAAACAACCCTGCTATTCACTTTGCTCCAGAGCTGCTTCAATCCTGTCTGTTGCTCCAGAGAAGCTCTGACAGGAGCTATTATCTGTGATCCAAAACTGTGGCTCATATCCCCAGGGCAGCTCATAGGATCTACCTTCTCTTGCCAGAGAATGAGGCATCGCTGGGTACCGGCGATGTGGTTTGTAAATGTTTGGTGCCAGCCTGGCTGTTTTCTTGCAGGACCCTCAGTTTGCATCTCTGCTCCAAATGTGGAGATGTGGGGCTCAGAGAAGCACTGATACCACGCATGGGGCTTCTTGTAGCTGTGCATGGATAGTGAAAACTCATGCAAGGGCAGCCTTGTACTTGGAAATGCTAGAAAGTTTCCACATCCTGTTCCTATCCCATTGACTGCACCTGAGTGAATGCCCACTGTTTTCTCCACCAGGATGTCAGCAGATCCTGTAGTTTGTTTTCCACTGAAATGTCTCCTCTTGGGTAAATATTACATCTGAGGTTGCTTTGCCAGTGGCTTTCCTACCCGGAGTTTGTACAACAGGTCAATGCCCTGCTCAGAGATAAAAGCAATACTTGCTGTGGGTGCTGTTTGCTGCTCTGCAATGCCGCTCTGCAATTCCCTCACCAGTTTCTCCTTTAAAGGTTTCTGAATGCTGCTGAAGTCCTGGAGGTTTTAGCAAAGTGAAGGAAATTTAAGACGAGCCATCGAGGGCTTGGACAGAGCAGAAGGGCAGAGCAGGAGTTTGTTTGTTCCAACAGCCATGGCTTGTAAATTATTCATCTGTGTGCAACTGAAACATGCAGATCTTCAAAGGTTGCGT